CTCCCTCCCTCCCTCCCTCCCTCCCTCCCTCCCTCTGTCATAGAAAAAATGCTTTCGTCCTCTTTCTCTACCTGCCCATTGTGGCCTGGTACCTTAAGGCTTCAGGGGCTCTCCTGCAATCGATGGGCCTCTGGCAAAGGACAGGAACTGCTGTGGATGGGAACTGGAGGAACGCTGCCAAGACTGGGCAAACGTGCAATGAACCTTTTGGGTTAACAGGGTTTGAAAAAAACCCTTCTCCCGCCCAGGTCAAATATTTTCCCTGCGGTCCCCAAACTACTCTGAACTCTGAGCATCTCCTGGGACTTACCCAGCCTTCCCCACTTCAGGGGTGGGTAAAATGTGGTGGGATTCATTGCAGGCCTCTGGGATCTTCCATTTCTCTGATGATTAGAAATCAGGCAATTGGGGGAAAGAAGCCTGCGCAGAGGACCAGGCGGGAAAAGAGGCAGCCCTGTTCTCCAGCCATAACGCAAAGAGGCCAAACAATCAGTCCCATGGTCCAATCAAGATGCTGTTTGGTTGCTTGGAAACTTCACTCCTCCTCTCTTCAGCCACCTGTGGGAATGTCCTTGGTTCCCAGGGGAAATTTTTTTGTTTTGGCTACAAAACTCCAGCTGCCTTTATTCCTCCCCCCTCCTTATGCCTCAGCATCATTGTGGCAATACCGAAGCCTCCAGGACAGCCCCTGTCAGGCCCTCTTCAGAGTTGACAGGTGTCTTCTAACACTGATACGGGAAGGTTTTTAAAAAGGGTACAAATAGTATTCTCGTTTTCTATTTTGGGCAGGGTGAAATTGGCCCTCCTGGTCCACGGGGTGAGGATGGGCCGGAAGGCCCGAAAGGTCGCAGCGGCCCCAACGGAGAGCCAGGCCCACTAGGTCCACCTGGAGAAAAGGTAGGTGTTCCTGACGCTGTTCATCCTTCCTCAACCGCCATGCTTCATCCAGCTTCCCCTTAGCTGCAGAATGCAATCTCCTCTGGAGAAATCTGGCTCAGGTTTTGCTTAATGACTCTTGATCTATCGCAGTCTTGCCCCACTGCAGGGATACTGCAAATGGGAGCTCACTTGGTGAAATTGTCCCCTGTTGCTTTGGGATGGAAATGTAATCCCAGATCTGGGATTCTAGAGATGAATTCAAATTCCTTTCAAGCTTTGCTATTTGCTAAATCATGGGATTAACTTTAGGATAGGATATAGAATAGGATAGAATAGAATAGAGAATAGAGAATAGAATAGAGAATAGAATAGAGAATAGAATAGAGAATAGAATAGAGAATACAATAGAGAATACAATAGAAAATAGAATAGAATAGAGAATAGAATAGAGAATGGAATAGAAACAACGTACTGCATTCTCTCCATCTCCCTCCTCCTCCATCATCATCATCATCATCATCATCATCATCATCATCATCCACCTCTCTTTGTTTTCCCAGGGAAAGCTTGGCATTCCTGGTCTGCCTGGATACCCTGGAAGACTTGGCCCCAAGGTAATGGCTGCCCTTTTCGTAAATAAATTTTCATTTCAATGTGCCATTTAGAATCAGGTGAGCTGCTGGGCAAGTTTACTGAGAGCCTGCGCCACCAGCCATGTGGAATGGGGAGACCTTGTGTGTTTTTACAGCATGAAGTAGGTCAGGGAGGCCAAGGTTAGGAGGACGGCAGATTGGCTGAGGCGCCAGAAGAGGCAGACTCCAGATCCATCGTTATTCCGGGAGGCTCTGGGTCTCTCTGGGGTCTCCCTGCAGCTCAGAGAAGGAAGCTGCAATTGGTTTTTAATGAGCAGCAATTCCTGATCTGCAATTTGAATTTGCTGGGAAAAAATTGCACTTTGGGTTGCTGTTAGTCATTTAAAAGAACTAAAATGATTTTTGTTGGACCCCTGAACCCCACTGGTGGATAAAGGGTGGGGGCTGCTGACCCTGCAGCCCCCAGCCTTTGCTCAGCAGCATGGGCCTTGGTTGTCCTGCAAGTCCAGGCACATGGGCAGCATCCTCCTTTGCTGGTTTCTTGGCTGCTCTTACCATTCCCCCTGGGTTTGCCTGGCAAAATGGGACGGTCCAGAACTGACAGCCAATAATCTCCCCCCTCCCACTAATCTCTCTTCCACCAAGGTAGTCCTGCAGTCAGTGCAAAGGAGCCCATGTTGGGCATGGGGGTCCAGTCAGGTGGGCTTTGCCCTTGATGGCAGTTCCTTAGCTGTTCCTTTCGTCTGGCAACTCTGTGCATGCGCACACTGGGAACAGGTTCCCGCTGTTCTTCTGCCCCACTGATCTCTGACTCTGAAGGCAACTGATAACTGCCTCCCATACAGAGCCCTCCTCAGAGCCTTCCCCAGACTCCAGGACTGGCCCAGGTTCCTTCCCAAGCTCCTCACTGTCCGAATCTGCCGCCAGCTCCACTGGCCCATAGCAGGCCACAACACGGGGGATGGAAGGAGGGTCGGGCATCGAAGTATTTCTTCCTTCCAGGCATGAGGTTCAATAGCCAAGGACGGCTGAGTTCTGTTTTGAACCCTCCACCCTAAAGAGCTAACTGTGGTCCCAGGGAAGGGAGTTCTCCAGCTGTCGTGTTGTTGCTGGTATTGTCATGTCCCCTCCAGTTGCGTCTCCATCTCCCTTCTCCTCTGCTTCCTTTTTCTCTAGGGTTCCATTGGATTTCCAGGGTTCCTGGGAGCCAACGGAGAGAAAGGAGGAAGGGTAAGAGCGGGATTTTGTCTGGGGCATCCGGGAAATCTCTTCCACTGGCCGTTGCTTGACGGGTTGTAACATTTTCTGCCATGATCATTTCTGGCATTGAAGAGAGGCTACGGAGAAGTTGGGGCATGGCATAGAGTTGCCTCCACAAAACAAAACGAAACAAGAATCAAAAGCCACACAAAACTCCTTTCATTAAAAGAGCTCTTCCTTCTGGTCAATGCTTCCTTCCAAAGGGGAAAAGGGGAACTCAGTCACAGCTGCTGGGTGCAAAAGTCCTCAGGGCTTCAGAGAGCCCCACAAGGCTCTGCAGAGGGTCTCCCAGGCTTCATGACAGAGGCCAACCCACCCCTGGAAGTCCCACCCCTGAAGTAGACCTGGATTCCACTGCAGAACCTCAGCATTCGCTCCCTTTTTCCCTTCCTCTTGAACTCCTGCGATAAAAACACCTTGTCTTCATGCTTCAGAATCAATCAATGTCAGAATCTGCCTGAGGGGCACAAAACGAAGGGATAGCTGGCCAGGTTTGCAAGACTGAATAGTTTGTTCCAGAATATTAACAACTTTGAAAGGAAAAAAAAAATCAGTAAGAAGATATTCAGGTCAAGGTCAAGTTTCACCAGTGCCCAGAAGTGCTCCAGGATGGGACTGGCAGAGCGGAGGGTGTAAGAATGAGGAGGAACAAGATGCACCCAAACTGGCCACTTCTGGTGGTTTTGGGAAGAGATGTTGTCTTCCTGGTCCTCTAAGCAACATCTGGCTATTCCTGGCAATTAGGGAAGGTCAGACTAGAGTGGTGTGGTGGCCTAGAGGTGGAGCTGTTGCCTCACAATCAGGAGCCTGTGAGTTCAATCCTAGGTAGAAGCAGATATTTCTCTCTCTGGGCACAATGGGAATATATCTGCCATGAATTCCACATTGGCGACAGGAAGGGCATCTGGCCAGTAAACACTCTGCTAGCTCCATTCAGTTGCCCTGACTCCCCGACCCCCTCCCCTGATGAGTACGTGGTCATTAAAGGCCAAAAAATAAAATCGGAATTGGAAGAACAGAGTTGAAAGGGATCTTGGAGGTCTTCTACTCCATAGGGACTCAAGCAGGAGACCCTATGCCATTCCAGAGTAGGGGGCTGCCCATTCCCTTCTTGTAAACCCTCCAGGGATGAAGAGACCCACTCCTTCCGGAGGGAGGCTGTTCTTATGAAGCGAGATCAAAGGCTCTGGCAAGTTGCTTGCACAATTATCGACTGCAGAGCAAATCCAAGTTTTGACAGTAAATATTCGGTTAGAGCAGGAACAGCATCAAAGTTCCTTTTGTTCGTCTCATTTAAATACAGATTGCCTCGAACAGGCCTGCTTGGTAGGACTGCTGGAGATATAAATAGCTTTTCAGCATGTGAATGTTTTGCTTCCTCAAATTCACTGACAGGGCTTGAGAACAGAGGGGGCAAGGCTGCGTTTGCTTCCTTCTTTCATCCCCCGTATTCCCCATGCAGGGTCTCTTCCACCCATTGTGAGGAAGTTGGGGGCATATTGGGAGACAACTGTTCTGACCTAGGTTTCACCAAATCACGCAGCAGACTCCTTGTTCTGACAAAACCCCTTTTTATTCAGCTAATGTGAGTTCTTCCCATTCACATCCAGCAAAGTCCCAGCAAACAGTCTTTCAAGGGTGAATTTACAACCACAGACCTTATCAAGCTTGGAGAGCTGCCAGGCCGATATCTTCCAAACTCCACGCAGTAGCAGCAATTACTTTGCAAGAAGTCAGGAACAGATCTTCACCCGAATGAATTGAACTAATTGTCTCCTGCAAACTCCCCTCCCCTTTCGCTCCTCTTTATTTCCTCTGGGAGGGGCCATTCACCGTCCATCTATGGCTTTAGTCCCGAATTGGCCCTTGCTCCTTAGCTGTTCCCTTCTCCTGGCAACTCTGCGCATGCGCACATCAGGAACAGGCTCCAGCTGTTCTTCTGCCCCACTGATGTCTGACTCCAAAGGCTGCTGATAACTGTCAAGACAGCTCTGGCCCCCCCTCTGCCTCCGACACAGAGCCCTCCTCAGAGCCTTCCCCAGACTCCAGGACTGGCCCAGGTTCCTTCCCAACCTTTTCACTGTCTGAGTCGGCCTCCAGTTCTGCTGGGCGCTGGCAGGACACAACACCAACATGAAGTGATGGGTCTAATGTAGGAGTTAGTATCCTGGCTGTGGGGCGGCCAAAGTGATCAGTCACATCAAAGTGAGGGAGTTAAATTAAATGCTGGGAAAATGGAATGAAGTTTTACAGCTGACTCGGTCTGGTGTCTCAATTTACCCCCTTGCCCCCACCCAAGCAGGAGAGCCTACACCATTTCTGACAGTTCATTTAGTGACCATTCAAAGTTACAATGGCACTGAAAAATGTGACTTACGACCATTTTTTCACAGTTACAACCTTAGCAGCTTCCCATGATCATGTGATCAAAATTCAGATTCTTGGCAACTGTCCATACTTATGACCGTCGCTGCATCCCAAGGTCATGCAATCCCCTTTTGCGACGTTCTGACAAGCCAAGTGCATGGGGAAGCCAGATTCACTTAACAACCGGGTTACTAATTGGGATTCACTTAACAAGCGTGGCGAGAAAAGTCATAAAATGGGGCAAAACTCACTTAACACACGTCTCATTTAGCAATAGGAATTTGGGGCTCCATTGTGGTTGTGAGTCGAGGACTACCTGTATTTAAGGCCCTGGATGAGCTGAGTTCTAGTCCTGTGTTAGGCAGGTTCCCAGCTACTTTCTCTCTCTGTTCGCAGGGCACCGCTGGCAAACCAGGACCAAGAGGACAGCGAGGTCCCACGGTAAGAGCCATTTCATTCCCCTCCTCCTGGCTCCAGAATTTCTGCCTGAATCAGGTCACCAGCTGTGGTCAGCAGGGGGGACAAAGATTCATAGGTCCCTTTTTAAAGAGAACCTGCCCACTTCGAATTCCTGACTCTTTGCAGAATATAGAAATGGCACAGCTGCAAAGTGAGTTCCAAATCTGGCAATATACGCCTCAAGGAACTAGGAGAGGACACGTTGGGTTAAAATGGGCAGGAATTGCATAAACCCAGACATTGCATGAGAGAATATTGCCTACAAAAATAGTATAACAGAGTTGGAAGGGACCTTGGAGGTCATCTATTCCAACCCTCCTTCAAGCAAGAGATCCTATCTCACCATTTCTGACAGTCCAGTCTCTTCTTGAAAGCTTCCAGCGGTGAAGCTCCCACAACTTCTGAAGGCAACTTCTCTTCCATGGGTTGTTGGTTCTCACTTTTCTCATGTTTATATGCATGAAATATATATTCAGACTTACACATTCCATGTTAAGCTGATTGTCTCTGGAGAAAAAAGGAGGCCAAAGGGACGTCAACTTTGGAAGGAAAGAGCTGTTGAAGGCCTCCCATTTCCTCCTTCTTCCACAATGACCCTCACCTTCTCCTTGTCTCTTCTCAAGGGCCCCCGAGGAGAACGCGGCCAGCGAGGCATCACTGGGAAACCTGGCCCAAAGGTACTCAACAGCCTTCCTAACTCCCTGGTTCACTGCTGGGGCCAGTCCTGAACTTTCCTGGTCTTGCAGAAGGAGGCTGGGGGAGGGCGACTCATCTTGGAGAAGGTGGTTCCCCCATTGCTGGCCACTTTCGCTTGGATTGGGAGGGTTTCAATATCATAATAACTTGGGAGACAGCAGGAGAGAAGAGGAAGAACTGGGGGAAACTACAAAATACAAAGAGCTACAAGTGGAATGACTGTGGCAAAAGAAAGCCAAGATAGCATTAATAGTGACATGCCCCTTGGGTGCAATCCCAAAACATGGGGAGCTCCACTGGGACACCACCAGGGGCATTGACAACACCACCCTCAGTCAATTGCAAAAGGCAGCTTTGCTCAGGAAGAGTTTACATCCTCCAATAGTCCTTTTAATACCCTCAAGGAGCACTTGCCTCTCCCAGGTCCTTTGGGGGGATGATTGGATAAAAATACCAAATCCAGTCTAAGCATTTGGCTGACTCTGCAACCAAACGTAACTTATTATTAAATGTATATGTTGCCCAGCACCCAGGGACTCCCCACATTCTTACCAGGCTGACCTGCTTATGTAATTACCGGTTCTTGGCAGAGACGTTAATCATAGAATATAGAATAGCAGAGTTGGAAGGACCGTAGAGGTCATCTAGTCCAACTCCCTGCACAAGCAGGAGAGTCTAAACCATTCCGGACAAATGGCAGTCCAGTCTCTTCCTGAAAACCTCCAGTGATGGAGCACCCTCAACTTCTGAAGGCAACTTTTGTTCCCTGGGTGGATTGTTCCCCCCAGAAAATAAGCTTTCAGTTCCCAGGGTTTTTCTCTCTTAATCAACCAAAACGCCTGTTTTTTTCCTCCACTTAGAAGGGAAGGGGAGAGCAGGGAGAGACAAGCTTTGTCTGTTATATTTGGTGGGTGGGCTGAGGGTGCGGGGGCTCGGAAAACGCCACTCTGCTTCTCCCTGGGAAATAGAAAATAGAAAAGGATAGAATGAGCTGGAAGGGACCTTGGAGGTCTTCTAGTCCAGCCCCCTGCTCAAGCAGGAGAGCCTATACCATTTTAGACAAATGAAATAGTTTTTTCTTAAAAAACCTCCAGTGATGGAGCGCCAACGATTTCTGGAGGTGAGCTGTTCCATTGGTTCATTGTTCTCCCTGTTAGGAAGTTTCTCCTTAATTACAGGTTGCTTCACTGCTTGATTAGTTTCCAACCATTGTTTCTTGTCCTGCTTTCCGATACTTTGGAGAATAGCTTCCCCCCCCCCCTTCTCTAGAGCAGGGGCCTCCAACCTTGGCAACTTTAAGACTTGTGGACTTCATTTCCCAGAATTCCTCAGCCAATTCCTAGCTGAGGAATTCTGGGAGTTGAAGTCCCCATGTCTTAAAGTAGCTAAGGTTGGCAAATCCTGCTCTAGAGGACTTTCCCATGACAACTCCAAACATCACAGTTGGGTTCCCTTTCCTGATTTCAGGGTGGCTGGATACTTTTTTTTTTTGTTAAGCTGCCCAGAATGGTTCAATACGAAATGAGTGGAAAATGAATCTTATAAATAAACACCATCCCAGTTTGGGGGGGGGGGGGCTGCTTCCTTCTGCTCCCCCAGAGTCTCTCAAGCAGCGCTCTGCAGAATCCCGGGACTCCATGGGAATTGGATGGAATTCCCGGGGGTGGGGGGAGTTTGCTCCGCCACAGCTGGGCATTCCCAGGAACCAAGTCCAGGTGCAATGCGGAGAGAAGCGCCTGCCAAGCCCTTCGTTATGGCTCATTGCCCTGCCAGGGTTTGAGAAGCAGCAGCAAGGCTTCTGGGAGGCATTTTGTAAAAAAACGAATGGTCCCTTGGCCTGAAAAAGTTTACAGCCCCATGAGCTGATGCCACGCGGGAGCTGAGCACACGGCCACAACTTTCCGAGCGATGGGCAGCTCTGGAGTAGCAGAAGCCAAAGGGAGAGCCGAAGCCCTGACCCTCAGGGGCAGGAGATCTCCATCCCAAATCACGCTAGCCCCAATGCTTTGTTGTCAGGGGGTGCAGGTTACCCTCCCTTTCCCTGCTCTTGGGTGAATATTTTTCTGGCAAGGGATGCCTCAACCCCAGGCCTCTGCTAGGGAGGGGGGGGGCTGGGGGCTGAGTATTAGTAAAGCTGGACCTTCACAGACATTACAGCCAACCTCCCCACCTGGTGAAATTTGGCCCCGAAATAAGGGCCAAGGAATAAACCTGTCCCAAACGATTCTAAGCATCTGCCGGTCTCAACCTTTTAGTGCCGAGGATGAGGGGAATGGCATATTGATACTCAACTGATAATTTATTGTTTTAATTCTCCTTTTTTTGCCTTCCAAGGGCAATTCCGGTGGGGATGGACCTCCAGGACCTCCGGGTGAAAGGGTAAGATCAAGCCAGCTGTAACTGAACAGATGTGCCACAACTGATACTTCCGATAGAAAGATGGGGCTTCTTGGCTGGCATCAGTCCTGCCAAGGCAGAAGGATTCACCTGGCCAGCTCTCTCCGTGCAGGACAGCAACACTAACGCTTCTGCCTCTTCCTTCCTAAGGGACCTTCAGGGCCTCAAGGACCAACAGGCTTTCCTGGACCAAAAGGGCCTCCGGTAAGTTCGGCCGAGACAGATCGGCCTCTGCTTTCCCAGGTCTCTCGGTGCAGACATTTCAGGAGGCTTAGTCTGCTGCATGTGAGGACATCATTACCTTGAATACTTTTCACTGAAGATCCTGTTTCCTTCTCTAGGGGCCTCCAGGAAAAGATGGATTGCCAGGCCATCCTGGGCAGAGAGGGGAAACGGTCAGTGCTTAGAAGTTTTCATCATTTCTATTGATCTAGCAAGAGCATTTCTCTCTTTATTTTGCCTAAGCAGGTCCTATCAATTAATCAATCAATCAGAATAGAGCTGGAAGGGACCCTGCGGGTCATGTAGTCCAACCCCCTACTCAAGCAGGAGAACCTATTCCATTTTTGAACCAAGAACTTTTTCCTCCCTGGGGGTGTGTGGGTCACCCTCTTTTGAGCCCAAAAGGGCAAAGTTAGATTGAATTCACTTCCAATTTATTGCATTAATTAACACATTCCTTACATATGGATAGCCATTCCTTTCATTGGGAATGAAATAGGGCAATTCAATAGCAGCTGTTGGAGGCTGCATTCAGAATTTATGGAGCAGGCCTGGGGGGAAGAAAGAGCTCCAATCAGTTGTTCAAATACAGCTGAAGTTGGGCCTCCGTTCCCCTCAGCGACATCCTCCAAATTCAACACAGGTTTACTTCCGAGGAAAGCCTTTCCCAGCCTCTGACATCTTGTGACATCTGACACAAACATTTCCTGACCGCAAAAGTTTGTCAAGCGTCAAGCATGTTTTCCTTGGCATGCTTTGTGCTTGTTTTGCTTCCGAAATCAATATGGCAGCTCTTCTTTGAGCGCATTGTGTGGGATTGATCTGTGAAAGGGAGCAACAGGAGAGGGAAACGTCTCGGCTGACATCCTGTTTGATGTATTGATCAGCCTATATCCTACTGGCTGTGCAATCTCTCTGCCTAAAGCCATCGGAGGAAATCCTGGAGGGATCTGGGATTGTGGGCCGGGGTCTTGAAGCCGTTATGGACTGGATGAGGGTTAACAAGCTTGTGCTCAACCCAGAAAAGACCGAGTGGCTGTTGTGTTTCCCTCCCAAAGATTTGGCTAATATTCCAACACTCAGGCTGGGGGGTCAAATTCTATCCCCCTCAGAGAGGGTTCGCACCTTGGGAGTCCTCGTGGCTCCACAGCTGTCATTCGACCACCCCTTAACGGCTGT